CACGTACCCGTTATCCGTCTCCGTGGACTTATCCAGCGACAGCTTATACTTCTTAGACCTGCTGGGAAAACAACGGGATCTGCTGAGGATCCCAAACACGCGTGTGCTCCAGCGAGTGAAGCGCTAGGCTAGTCCTACAGACGAACACTGGCGGCAGAAGCCGAGTCGCTGGCTAGAGACACTCATCTGTGCTTTAGGGGAGAGCGCAGGATTAGAAACGGAAAGGAATATGGAATAAAATGGCTACAAAATCCCCAGTGAGCGACACAGTGACCAAACCTCTGAAAAACTGGTGTAAACATTTATGATGGTGACGGATGGATTTAGGAAAGAGATGTTGTAGCCAGGAAGAGGAAATGAGAGCGAGAGAGAGAGAGAGAGAGAGAGAGAGAGATACACACCCCACTTTAAAGAGATCATGCCAGAAGTCTCTGCAGAAGATGACGAGGCCTTGCGACCCCTGCGACCCCTGTGACCCCTGCGACCCCTCCTGTGTGTTATCGGTAGTGCTAGAGCCGTCGCCTTCCCTATGAATGTCCAAATGAGCCGCTTTCCTCAACTTCCTTTAGCGAGAGAGACAGTGAAAGTGCAGAATACTCAGAAAAGGCAAATCAGAACGAACTTTGACCTCAGGGATCAGAGCACTGGATTCCCAGAGTCAAGAGGGGAGAAAGGCCTGAGAGAGACGAGGACTCAGCCGAGATGAAGAAACTCAGCATTAATGATTCAAGAATTTGTGAATTAATTTATGTTCATGCTTCTGGAATATGACTGATCATTTGTGGCTGAAACTCTAATGATGAAGACGAGAGAGCATCAGCGTTGAACTGTCTGACCTTCAGGAGGAAACACACACACATGAGCATTAGCTGAAGAGAGAGAGTCTGACCTGCGCCTCCTCCCGCCGCTGGGTTTGGGTGTGTGTGTGTGTGTGTGCGTGGAGACGATCTGGCAGTGAACGGTTCCCAACAGCAGCATCAGCCAGACGGAGCCGAACACCTCGGTGACGGGAACGCCATGAGGAGAGGAGACACTGAAGAACAACAGCACTGCCACCACTGCAACACACACACACACACACACACACACACACACGCCATGAGGAGAGGAGACACTGAAGAACAACAGCACTGCCACCACTGCAACACACACACACACACACACACACGCCATGAGGAGAGGAGACACTGAAGAACAACAGCACTGCCACCACTGCAACACACACACACACACACACACATACATGAAGAGAAAATGATGAGCGGCGCAAACACAAATAACCCAGTCCAGCTATTCGTGTATATATTCATCATGAGGGACTCTGACACTTCTATATTAGAGCTAAGAGAAATACACATACTTTATTTTACAAATGTGAAGGTATGGGTATAGGTATGATTCAATTGGTTTCAGGCTCTAGTTGAAGTTCTCTATCTTTTGTATATGGGACTTTTATGTTTGGTGCAGAAACATCTAGTAATTGGCAAAATGGACTTTTATTTTGACAGGAGAGCACCTTGGAAGAGGAAGGCCTTGTTTAGTAGAGTGCCAAAGAAGGCCAAGCCAGGGTTAGGCGAGACAGCACGGGTTAGACCAGGGTTAGGCGAGACAGCACGGGTTAGGCCAGGGTTAGGCGAGACAGCACGGGTTAGGCGAGACAGCACGGGTTAGGCCAGGGTTAGGCGAGACAGCACGGGTTAGGCCAGGGTTAGGCGAGACAGCACGGGTTAGGCGAGACAGCACGGGTTAGGCCAGGGTTAGGCGAGACAGCACGGGTTAGGCCAGGGCTAGGCGAGACAGCACGGGTTAGGCCAGGGTTAGGCGAGACAGCACGGGTTAGGCCAGGGTTAGGCGAGACAGCACGGGTTAGGCCAGGGCTAGGCAAGACAGCACGGGTTAGGCCAGGGCTAGGCGAGACAGCACGGGTTAGGCCAGGGTTAGGCGAGACAGCACGGGTTAGGCCAGGGCTAGGCGAGACAGCACGGGTTAGGCCAGGGTTAGGCGAGACAGCACGGGTTAGGCCAGGGTTAGGCGAGACAGCACGGGTTAGGCCAGGGCTAGGCGAGACAGCACGGGTTAGGCCAGGGTTAGGCGAGACAGCACGGGTTAGGCCAGGGTTAGGCGAGACAGCACGGGTTAGGCCAGGGCTAGGCGAGACAGCACGGGTTAGGCCAGGGCTAGGCGAGACAGCACGGGTTAGGCCAGGGTTAGGCGAGACAGCACGGGTTAGGCCAGGGCTAGGCGAGACAGCACGGGTTAGGCCAGGGTTAGGCGAGACAGCACGGGTTAGGCCAGGGCTAGGCGAGACAGCACGGGTTAGGCCAGAGTTAGGCGAGACAGCACGGGTTAGGCCAGGGTTAGGCGAGACAGCACGGGTTAGGCGAGACAGCACGGGTTAGGCCAGGGTTAGGCGAGACAGCACGGGTTAGGCCAGGGCTAGGCGAGACAGCACGGGTTAGGCGAGACAGCACGGGTTAGGCGAGGGCTAGGCGAGACAGCACGGGTTAGGCCAGGGTTAGGCGAGACAGCACGGGTTAGGCCAGGGCTAGGCGAGACAGCACGGGTTAGGCCAGGGTTAGGCGAGACAGCACGGGTTAGGCCAGGGCTAGGCGAGACAGCACGGGTTAGGCGAGACAGCACGGGTTAGGCCAGGGTTAGGCGAGACAGCACGGGTTAGGCCAGGGTTAGGCGAGACAGCACGGGTTAGGCGAGACAGCACGGGTTAGGCGAGACAGCACGGGTTAGGCCAGGGTTAGGCGAGACAGCACGGGTTAGGCCAGGGTTAGGCGAGACAGCACGGGTTAGGCGAGACAGCACGGGTTAGGCCAGGGTTAGGCGAGACAGCACGGGTTAGGCCAGGGCTAGGCGAGACAGCACGGGTTAGGCCAGGGTTAGGCGAGACAGCACGGGTTAGGCCAGGGTTAGGCGAGACAGCACGGGTTAGGCCAGGGTTAGGCGAGACAGCACGGGTTAGGCGAGACAGCACGGGTTAGGCGAGGGCTAGGCGAGACAGCACGGGTTAGGCCAGGGTTAGGCGAGACAGCACGGGTTAGGCCAGGGCTAGGCGAGACAGCACGGGTTAGGCCAGGGTTAGGCGAGACAGCACGGGTTAGGCCAGGGCTAGGCGAGACAGCACGGGTTAGGCGAGACAGCACGGGTTAGGCCAGGGTTAGGCGAGACAGCACGGGTTAGGCCAGGGTTAGGCGAGACAGCACGGGTTAGGCGAGACAGCACGGGTTAGGCGAGACAGCACGGGTTAGGCCAGGGTTAGGCGAGACAGCACGGGTTAGGCCAGGGCTAGGCGAGACAGCACGGGTTAGGCCAGGGTTAGGCGAGACAGCACGGGTTAGGCCAGGGTTAGGCGAGACAGCACGGGTTAGGCCAGGGTTAGGCGAGACAGCACGGGTTAGGGGATCCGGTGTGAGCCAAACAGATCCGTGTTTTCTAGCCTTCTCCTTTGAAGTCATTTATGGACTAATTACCCATCGAGGTTCAAGAGAAGACTTGGGGTTTTGGTATTTCATCACGTTTGGAGGATTATTACCACTTTTCCTGGACATTTTGGTTCATTTTTTGGGCTCAAGGATTCACGCATAAGGACAATACTTCTCACGCATGGACTATTTGATCAAGGACTCTTGGATAAGTGTTCATTTTTCTGATTTGACTATTGAGTTATAGGCCTATCTTTGTCTGATTTCAAGTATTGATAGTTTTTTCCATTATTCATTCATGCCTTGTGAGAGCCCTGAACTTTTAAGTGACTTCTGGTTTACTTAAGTTGCAAGCCAAGTTTGTTACAGCGTTCGCACCGGGTAGTTCTAAGAACTCCATTATAGGATCTCTAGCCACCAGGGTGGTTCCCCAAGGACTAATGATTCCCCTAGGAACGTTTTCCTGGTTGCATTCGCACTGCTGGTTATTTCTGAGATTCTGGATCAGTGAGATTGGCCTGTGTTGTTATTGCCGGAGTCTCTGAAGCTCGTGTGAAGGCTCCGCCCTCTTCTGAACGGAGGCGGAGCTAAAGCTCATTTGCATTTAAAGGGACAAAAAGGGGCAAATTTGACCAGCTATAATAAATGATCTGGTATTTTGAGCTGAGATTTCACACACACATTCTGGGGACACCATAGATTTATATTACATCTTGTGAAAAGGGGCGTAATATGAAACCTTTAAAAATGCCTGGTGCGGGTGTTTCGCGTGCATTCAGCAATCAGCGAACACTCATGTCACGGATAGTTCCAATAGCGCTGGTTTACACCCGACTCTGAAGTTGGAGTAAATTAGTTCCTCCAAAAGAGTTCCTAGAACTAAAATCATTCCTAGTTCCTGCGGTGCGAACACGCCAAACTCTGGGAACTTCTGCCAATAGTTCTAGGAACGATGAAAAGGTTCCTCGATGCGAAAGTCGCTATTAGGGAACTAAAATAAGCATAGCTATTAAAGGGAACATGAAACACTAGATGTATTTCCCATAATTTATAAGATGCTTTCCACTCTAAAGGTTCTTACAGGTTTAGCAGAGTCAGTGAAACTGGATTAAATGATCTTGTGGAAAGCGTGACATCATGAGGTCGGATGTCATTAGTTCACATTAGTGATAATTAACTGATTCACGAAAAGTTCTCATCTTTTGCTCTTCCTCGTGTCGTTCAAACACATGAGACGTTCATCTTCAGAACAAATGAAGATGATTTTAATGAATCTGAGATCAAGTTTAATGCTTTAATTCACATATGCATGACATCATCAATAAAAACCACCCAGGCGGCAGTAAATACGGCTTCACTTGTAGCGATGAAACATGATTAAGTGCTGATTTTAAGGAGGTTTTCATTCAGGAAATGAATGTGGATTAGCTCTCGCACACCTTGCTCTCTTTAATCACTTATAAAAACAAAAGCACTTGAACTCCACCCAGATCAGTTTACACTAACCCTGAAGGAGGGACGTGTAGAGTCAGATTCAGAAGGACACGCCACATGTAAATCACAGGCGTGTTCTCTCTCTCTCACACACACACACACACACACACACTCACCCTGCAGCAGGTAGAGAGACAGCAGCAGGTGTTCTCTCGCTCTCTCTCTCACACACACACACACACACACACACACTCACCCTGCAGCAGGTAGAGAGACAGTAGCAGGTGTTCTCTCGCTCTCTCTCTCACACACACACACACACACACACACACACACACACACACACACACACACACACACACTCACCCTGCAGCAGGTAGAGAGACAGCAGCAGGTAGAAGACGGTCCTGGACGTGACCTGGATCCACCAGCGGAAGAAGAAGGGGAAGAACACCACCCTGACGATGCCCTTCCGGGTCAGAGCCGTCCACGGGCTCTCTGGCTTCGCTTTAGCAAACGCAGAACCTGACAGATAAACACACCACTGGTCATGACCTGATGACTGGAAGAGCTGGAAGAGCTGGAAGAGAGGGCAACTCTCTGAGAGAACAATGGAAATTACCATTTGAACCCACTTTTGTGCACCATTCGAGACGCATGTCTCGCCTCAGAATCATCCTAATCTACATGTCTTCCCTCTTCCCCATCCCTCTTCCCCCATCCCTCTTCCCCCATTCCTCTTCCCCCTCTTCCCCCTCTTCCCCCACCCCTCTTCCCCCATTCCTCTTCCCCCACCCCTCTTCCCCCTCTTCCCCCACCCCTCTTCCCCCATCCCTCTTCCCCCTTCCCCCATCCCTCTTCCCCCATCCCTCTTCCCCACCCCTCTTCCCCATCCCTCTTCCCCACCCCTCTTCCCCATCCCTCTTCCCCACCCCTCTTCCCCATCCCTCTTCCCCATCCCTCTTCCCCACCCCTCTTCCCCCATCCCTCTTCCCCACCCCTCTTCCCCCATCCCTCTTCCCCACCCCTCTTTCCCTATTCCCATCCCTCTTCCCCTATTCCCATCCCTCTCCCCCCACTCTTTCCCACTCTTCCCCATACCTCTTTTCCACTCTTCCCCATACAACTTCCCTATTCCCCATCCCTCTTCCCCCTCTCTTCCCCATCCCTCTTCCCGTTCCCCCTTTCTCTTCCCTATTCCCCCTCTCTCTTCCCTATTCCCCCCCCTCTCTTCCCTCTTCCCCATCCCTCTTCCCCACTCTTCCCCATCCCTCTTCCCCACTCTTCCCCACTCTTCCCCATCCCTCCCCATCCCTCTCTCCCACTCTTCCCCATCCCTCTCCCCCACTCTTTCCCATCCCTCTCCCCCACTCTTCCCCATCCCTCTCCCCCACTCTTCCCCATCCCTCTCCCCCACTCTTCCCCATCCCTCTCCCCCACTCTTCCCCATCCCTCTCTCCCACTCTTCCCCATCCCTCTCTCCCACTCTTCCCCATCCCTCTTTCCCACTCTTCCCCATCCCTCTTCCCCACTCTTCCCCAACCCTCTTCCCCACTCTTCCCCATCCCTCTTTCCCACTCTTCCCCATCCCTCTTTCCCACTCTTCCCCATCCCTCTTTCCCACTCTTCCCCATCCCTCTTTCCCACTCTTCCCCACTCTTCCCCATCCCATCCCCCACTCTTCCCCATCCCATCCCTCACTCTTCCCCATCCCTCTCCCCCACTCTTCCCCATCCCTCTCCCCCACTCTTCCCCATCCCTCTCCCCCACTCTTCCCCATCCCTCTCCCCCACTCTTCCCCATCCCTCTCCCCCACTCTTCCCCATTCCTCTTCCCCATCCCTCTCCCCCACTCTTCCCCATCCCTCTTCCCCACTCTTCCCCATCCCTCTTCCCCATTCCTCTTCCCCATCCCTCTCCCCCACTCTTCCCCATCCCTCTCCCCCACTCTTCCCCATCCCTCTCCCCCACTCTTCCCCATCCCTCTCCCCCACTCTTCCCCATCCCTCTCCCCCACTCTTCCCCATCCCTCTCCCCCACTCTTCCCCATCCCTCTTTCCCATCCCTCTCCCCCACTCTTCCCATCCCTCTCCCCCACTCTTCCCCATCCCTCTCCCCCACTCTTCCCCATCCCTCTCCCCCACTCTTCCCCATCCCTCTCCCCCACTCTTCCCCATCCCTCTCTCCCACTCTTCCCCATCCCTCTCTCCCACTCTTCCCCATCCCTCTTCCCCACTCTTCCCCATCCCTCTTCCCCACTCTTCCCCATCCCTCTTTCCCACTCTTCCCCATCCCTCTTTCCCACTCTTCCCCACTCTTCCCCACTCTTCCCCATCCCATCCCCCACTCTTCCCCATCCCATCCCCCACTCTTCCCCATCCCATCCCTCACTCTTCCCCATCCCTCTCCCCCACTCTTCCCCATCCCTCTCCCCCACTCTTCCCCATTCCTCTTCCCCATCCCTCTCCCCCACTCTTCCCCATCCCTCTCCCCCACTCTTCCCCATCCCTCTCCCCCACTCTTCCCCATCCCTCTCCCCCACCCCTCTCCCCCACTCTTCCCCATCCCTCTCCCCCACTCTTCCCCATCCCTCTCCCCCACTCTTCCCCATCCCTCTTCCCCATCCCTCTCCCCCATCCCTCTCCCCCATCCCTCTCCCCCATCCCTCTCCCCCATCCCTCTCCCCCATCCCTCTTCCCCATTCCTCTTCCCCATCCCTCTCCCCCACTCTTCCCCATTCCTCCCCCACTCTTCCCCACTCCTCCCCCACTCTTCCCCACTCCTCCCCATCCATCTTTCCCACTCTTCCCCATACCTCTTCCCCCATCCCCATCCCTCTTCCCGTTCCCCCTCTCTCTTCCCTATTTCCCCATCCCCATCCCCCCTCCCCATCTTCCCCCACTCTCTCCCTCTTTCCCTCTTCCCCCACTCTCTCCCTCTTTCCCCACTCTCTCCCTCTTTCCCCCTTCCCCCACTCTCTCCCTCTTTCCCCACTCTCTCCCTCTGTAACTCAGATCATCCCGTGATGTTGAAGGACCTCAAAGACTTCAGCATTCTGTATTTTTCTAAATGTTGGGTCTAACCTACATCTACTCTTTATCTCTGAGCATTTGATATTATTGTTTTGATTATTTGTGAACTGATTATGAAATTGGCATGATACATTTACCTGACATAATAAATTGTAAACTGACTCTTACATTATTTTCAGTAAAGGGTTAAAAAGAATAGTCAAACATTCGCTCACATTTAATGAAGCACAGATATTATATATCAAATTACTTTACCACGCAGTAACACGCAGAGACTTTCACCCACTGATCGAATGCCGCCATTGGAACGATTGAGTCGGGCTTACAAAACTGTGAACGCAGAGAAATCTGTGTGTGTGTGTGTGTGTCTGACCTCTGACCAGATCCACGTCAATCAGGTCCGGCTTCACATGACCCGTCTTCTTCGGTTTGTTCCTCAGACCCTAGAGAGAGAGAGAGAGAGAGAGAGAGAGAGAGAGATTGACAGAGATTGACACTGTCTCGGTCAAACATCATTCATTCACACTGAAACCATGCGTGTCACACACTTCATATGAGTTTATTTAGTCAATTCATGAGCAGAGGAATTAAACACTCGCCTCCTTCAGTCACACTCACATTTAATACCACAGATTATTAGGAATTTAGAACTGATTTTATTCACACGCAAACACCACTGATGATTGCCTCGCGCTCTACCGAGGGCCCGGCCTCGCGCTCTACCGAGGGCCCGGCCTCGCGCTCTACCGAGGGCCCGGCCTCGCGCTCTACCGAGGGCCCGGCCTCGCGCTCTACCGAGGGCCCGGCCTCGCGCTCTACCGAGGGCCCGGCCTCGCGCTCTACCGAGGGCCCGGCCTCGCGCTCTACCGAGGGCCCGGCCTCGCGCTCTACCGAGGGCCCGGCCTCGCGCTCTACCGAGGGCACGGCCTCGCGCTCTACCGAGGGCACGGCCTCGCGCTCTACCGAGGGCACGGCCTCGCGCTCTACCCAGGGCACGGCCTCGCGCTCTACCCAGGGCACGGCCTCGCGCTCTACCCAGGGCACGGCCTCGCGCTCTACCCAGGGCACGGCCTCGCGCTCTACCCAGGGCACGGCCTCGCGCTCTACCCAGGGCACGGCCTCGCGCTCTACCCAGGGCACGGCCTCGCGCTCTACCCAGGGCACGGCCTCGCGCTCTACCCAGGGCACGGCCTCGCGCTCTACCGAGGGCACGGCCTCGCGCTCTACCGAGGGCACGGCCTCGCGCTCTACCGAGGGCACGGCCTCGCGCTCTACCGAGGGCACGGCCTCGCGCTCTACCGAGGGCACGGCCTCGCGCTCTACCGAGGGCACGGCCTCGCGCTCTACCGAGGGCACGGCCTCGCGCTCTACCGAGGGCACGGCCTCGCGCTCTACCGAGGGCACGGCCTCGCGCTCTACCGCGGGCCCGGCCTCGCGGTCAACTTGTTATTGATCATCTGCAGTTCCTGAACCCACAGTTGAGATGGTTTTAGGCGCCTGATCGATCAGTGAATCAGAGACTCGTTTATTCTTCAGCGGATCGAGCAGAACAAGTCAAATCACTTTCTGCCCTCTTTATATTTGTCTGCCTATCCCTCGTTATGCAAGACATTCGGCCACACACACACACACACACACACACACACGTCACAGCGCAACAAACCATCTGAATGAGATTCACTCTAAGCTGCTACATGAGACCCGTCTTCATCATCGTCATCATCAGTGAGGAGTTTAATGTCTGCCGAAGTTAATCTCAGTACATGACAGTGGTTACTGATGTGACCTTGTCTAAACATGCTCTCATACACACACAAGCATCCAGTCGTGTGAAGACATCAAAGCCAGTCTGACACACACACACACACACACACACGCAGCGCCACCTACAGGCTGAGAGCGGCAGCGGTACTCACCCGTCTAATGAACTGAGGAGAGAGAGGTGATAGAGCGAGAGACGTTTAAGAGGAAGAAGAAAACTACACACACTCTCTCACACACACACACACACTCTCTCACACACACACACTCTCACACAGGTTACCTTGATCTCTCTCTGTTCCACTGATTTCTCCCATATCTGCTGGTCATACGCACCGATCTGACACACACAGAAGAGAGACAGACAGGTTTAACATCAGACATGATCTGAACAGCATTCATGTGTTTAACCCTCTGGGGACCAAGGTGTTTTTGGGGTCCTTGAGATGTTTTGACATGCTCTGACATTTGTGCTTTTTTCAGTTGCTTATAAACATATTAATGGCACAGGTGAAATTACACTCTATTTAGCACACACAGGGCTACCATAATGTGTGAGCAACATCTATGTACATGTTTGTATTTTTGAGGGAATATTGTTTATGCATGGTTATTGAAAAAACTAAAAAATTAAGTTTTTGAAATAAGGACACAAAAAACATACTAAATATGTGTCCACAAGACTTTTGACTAATGTACGTTGTCGCCTAGAGTTTTTGCTTCAAAATGATCTGAAAATCATCCTTCCTAATCATTCACATAAAACAATAGATTGTTTTAAATTGTGAAAAACATTTTTTTGTTTGCCAAGGCAATATGCGGATGGGCGGAACGGCCCAACCCCTATCATGAATAATTAAGTGGTTCTCAGACAGTGACCCTGCATAATAATGAGCCTTTCATTCAGGGGTGTCACACAAGAAAGAATGCAATGACAATATATATATATATTGTCATTGCATTCTTTCTTGTATATATATAGCCTACATTAGGGCTGTGCGATATGACGATATATATCGGATGGACGATATAAAAAGCCTATCGTTTCATATTATGCCATATCGTTTATATCGTGGTGTCGCAAAAAAACATTGTTTACGGCAAAAATTTGGATGACTGCAATCTTTCACGCCACCATGGGGATGCAGGCAGAAACGTGAATAACAGCATGAATGAAGGGGTGACAGAACCGGGTGTTTCCGAGCAGGAGAAGAACCAGCCAGAACAAACCGAGGAGCTCGTTCCTAAACGAGGGGCTAGATGGTTTGGTTAACTTTCTATTTGTTGTATTGACCATTTTAGGGTGGTTTGGATAAATAAACGCCAGTCTCAAATAGAGGCCTGGTCTGTTTTTTAGTTTCGGTTTGTATTTAATCTTCTAAAACCCGTCAGATCGTCTGATTAAACCAGTTCTGTGGTGCAGATTGCGCGCATCTGGGCGGAGTTGTTAGTGCAAGCAGAGTTAGCGGAGGCCGGAGAGAGAAGGAGATCGTTTTACAGGGTATAGCCTTCATTCTTTCTTGTTGATGTGTTTCGGGCAACAAGTTCATAGGCTCGATGGATATTACCAGTAATGTATTGTTCAGCCCATGGCTGTCACATCGTTTCGTTTTTTTTAATTCTGCCAATAATCTAAAAGCTAAGGTTATATTAAATGTACAATTATTGTTATGTATATACTGACTTCACCCTGTGCTGCAACATACATTTAGTTGTACATTCATTTACAGAAATCAGCTGGTTGAATTCAAATTGATGCTGTTATCGGATTTTCAGGTGATATTCCCAATTCATTCAGTTAACGGACGCTCTGAGGTAAAGTGTTCAGACTGCAGACTAAGCAACGATTGTATTTAATTGTACAGTACTATCATAACATAGTACAGACATGATCTTAATTCCATAATGTCCTTAAACATAACAATTTGCTGGCCATAAACTGACAGCGCGTGTCCGGTGTGCGATACCTCGAGTTGCTATAGACACGGCGCGCGCGCTTCTCGTCCGGTGAGCGACCCCCTTTAGACATAAAGACCTAGGCTAATTCTTAGATTAACGGATTTGTTAAACACATTTACAAATAAAACGTAATCTTCATTATCTCTAGGCCTACACTAAATGAAAGGCCTGTCTCATAGCCTCAAATACAAGCCGGTGCAGTTCGGCGATTTGGGAAAATAAAAGCCCGGGCTATTATTTGAAGTTTTACAGTATATCGTGATATATATCGTTATCGGGATATGAGATGACTTCTATCGTGATATGAGATTTTGGTCATATCGCCCAGCCCTAGCCTACATATATATATATATATATACATACACACACACACACACACATATATATATATATATATACAAACAATCAAAATATAAATGAAAGCCAAAAGCACATTTTTGTCATACCTGGAAACAAATCCTGGTCAAATGCTATATGGGCCATTCTACAGAATTGGTTCAAAGTTACAGTTGGAAACATCTTGAAAAGAAAATAGTCTTTTCCCATAAATGTCTTATAAAGTATTATTTTTTTAAAGTAGACCAATAAAAATAAAAATAAACCAGTCGCATTTCAAAGTCGCTCGCGAAATGACCGCCAGGTGGCGCAAAGGGACATTTATCAAAACGTAAGTGGGGCTAATGTCAATTAACAGTAAGGATGCAATTCTACAAGTTATGGTAATTTACAAATAAGCCTACAACAAACATTTATTTTTAAACAAATATTTTTAAATATGCAACATGCACGTTTAAACAACAAACAATACAATCTGAACCAGCGCTTCTGCTCCTGTATTGAGACATGCAGCGCGTTTCAGTTACGATCCGGGTTCCAGTGGCCTTAATACATTCACGGCTTTTTAAAATGTCACAAAGCGTTTTGAGATGGTTTTGAATGAAATATTGAAGTTTATAATTAGGGTATTTTGGCACACCACGCCGAGTGGCTATGCATTATTCTAAAATCTGGCTTTATTCTGGCATGTTGAATTAGAGTTTGACAAACGCGGCGGCGCGTTCATTTGGATTTATTTTTCTCATAACAGCTAAAAGAACTTACTGCGTAATTGTTGGTCATACAGATAAGATATCATCTTTTAAAACTGTAAAAGGTCTACTTTTATTCATGTAGGCTAAAGTAGGCCTACACTCACAGGCTAACGACAAAACGTTTTCTCGCTCATGTGAGAAACAAACGTTTGGGCATTTCTCAGTGAGAAAATTCATAGCCGAGCGGTAGAACTGACGGTTCGATCATCAAGATGACACGGGTTCGAATCTCGAACAAACATTGTGTACTGTAAATTTTATATTTATTAATGCAGAGAGATTTGTCTAGCTCTAAAACTCTGTTACACCATACAGTTTTTTGCTTATATTTATAAAATAAAATTACCATGCATTTCCATTTTACACTAAGGAACAATAGTATCCAACAGAACGACTTTGCATCTGTACCAATCGGGTACCAATCGTAATTTCAAAAGCAGTTCTGTAAAAAAAAGTAATTTTATATATATAGCCTATATATATATTTTTATTTTTTATTAGGCCTATTATTATTATTTTTTTGATTCCCTACAACCTAGAGTTTTTAAAAACATGGTTTTAAGTAAAGTGTGATTTGCCAGGGGGGACGGGGATTTCCTTCTGGTCTAAACATCCCTGCTTCTGCTGAATTATTTGAATCCCCACACCCCTCCCTCCACAGTAATCAATGCTATAGGCTACTTCACCAATAGACCATATCAAATATAAAATAGAGATATGCAACAAGCAGGTTTAAACGACAAACAATAAAATCAAAACCAGCGTTTCAGTTGTTCATTAGTTCCAGTGGCCTTAATGCATGCACGGCTTTTCAAAATTTCACAAAGCGTTTTGAGATTATTTTGAATGAAATATTGAAGTTTATAATTAAGTGATTTGGCAGACCACGCCGAGTGACCCTATGCATTTTTCTAAAGTCGGGTTTTATTCGAACTTTTGCTAACGACAAAAGTTTATCTGTCGTCTCTGTCTCCGGGAACTGCGCGTCACAAAAATGAACCGAAAGCCACTTCAGCTCAGTCACTATAAGAAATCGGCTATGTCTAAAGCCTTTAAATGTCTAAATATTCAGGCTAATAAATGTTATCTGATTATGTAATCCATAATGAAAACGAGAGGTACAGAGGATCTACTCAAACATGTAGCCTGTAAGCGCTTCCCAATGAGAAAATGACAAGACAAGGGTGAAAATCTCGCTCTAATTAAATGTAGGCTAAATCGCCCTGAATTAAAATGTAAAAACAGATCAAATAATGTATTTGTCGAAATGTTGCGATATTGTTTCATTTAAGTTCATAATTATTCTATACATGTTATTTAATTTAGCAACATTACCACGAAGCACCGTGGTTCGATATTTATTTGAATAATAAAGAAAAAAAAAACTTAATTCACAAATTGCATGCCTGGTTGTAAGGATCCAAAGATCCCTGTAGAATTTAATATTGAGTTGAACATTTTGTTCATGACAACAAATTAACAAGCGTTTTTTCATATTATATTTAGTTTTGCTTGGAAAAAGCTGGCCCAAACCAGTTTTATTTCATCAATTACTGAAATAATGAAATATTTAGTAATAAACTTTTATGACAGAAATATCACTAGGCTACATGTAACTTAAATCATTTAATTCCTTCATTATCAACACTGTCTAGAATAGCGATTTAAGTGTAAATTGCGACTTCTCTTTGTGTTAAATCAGCCTCAGACTCCGATAGCCGGTGGGGGGTTGGAGGGACAGTTCAGTGCTGTATCGAGCGCGCAGGACAATAGGCATAGGTGTTAATGTTCCTCTTTCATATGGAGAGCGAGGGAGACTAAATAAACTTGTTAAAAAGAGATTCAGCGCGAGAGAGGCAAAGAAAAACGCATGTTTTAATTTAATTATGTTGCTTTGGACAATTTTCGTTTTGTAGGCCTACTGTTTTAATTGTTTAATATAGCTGTCATTTCTTTGGCAATACAAATTTAAAATGTCGCAAGAATAAGATTAGCCTATAGTGTTTCTTATTTTGCATCGCAAAAGAAATAAACTCTAAACCCGATGCAACCCTGTTTTAAATAAAAAAAAACTGTCCCGACACTTTATTTAAACCTTGAAATGTTCGAACTTGGTTTAAAACTTAAGAAATTTTAGTGTTCTTTTACATTACACAATAATTTAGCAGACTAAAGACGTGCTTCTTCATTTTCATTTTCTGATGCAATCGGCTGACAATCTTCCTTCATCAGTTTATGTCCTTTGTGCAGCGCTGCGGTTCCAGGAATGTAGCAAATTTATGTTGTAATA